TGAAGCATTCACTGATAAAAAGCAAAGACTACAGAGCTCTGGAAGCTTAGTGCCTAAGGCACTTGACTGCTAACCAGAAGGTTGGAGGTTCAAACCCACCAGCCACTCCTCAGAAAGAAGGTTGGGCAATCTACTTCTGTAGTGATACCGCCTCGGAAACCCAAGGAGGGCTCGCTATGAGTTGGGTCCGACTCGACGGCACACAACAACAACAGTCTGCAGCATAGATTACACCTCAACATAAAGAAAACAAAATCCTCACAACTGAAAGAAAGTCCTGGGCTCAGGAGTTTGTCGTTCCTTTCATTCCAGACTAAACACGGGCACCCTGCCTTAACGCTCTGCGTCGATTTCTTCCAGGGACTGCGGTTTCACCGGCTTTCACTGGCAGAACTGCCCCAGACACTTGGGGCACAGACAGGACCACGTGTCCGACCTTCCTAAGTCGCGTCCTGTGTGCTGCACCCTGAGGGGCTCCCTCTCGATTATCAGATTACCCACAGGAGGCTCACAGGCCAGAGGAGGGGGTCAGTTCAGGCTCCACAGCCAAGAAGAACAGAGATGCACGCCACTTGGTAGACAGTGTCGTCTTGCAGCCAGAGCATCCCAGGTGTTGACACAGCAGCAAAGACCCTACCATTCCAGTCTTCCACAGATTGCCTGCCTCGGTAGTAATCTGGTCCACAGCTGGACTCCAAATATGCCGCTCCGATCTCGTGACGCCGCTCACAGCTGGCCAGGGTAACGGCCCTGCCCAGGAACGCCGTGCCTCCAAGCAGCCACCTCACGTCCTGAAGGAGGTCCGCTCTTCTGCACGGGCCACACGGAAGGGGCCTCTCCTTTCACTGGCCAGTCTTCGAAGGCAGAGACTACCCCTCGACCTTCACCTCTGAAAGAGGATCCCCTCAGCAGCCCCAAAGGGGCACGCCCTTCTGTGGGAAGTTCCCAGTGGGGTCCTGGATGGCTTTCCTCCCCTCCCAGGAGCTGTCACCCCAATGGGAGGTCTCACAAGAGTAAAGAAGGAAATTTAACTGCCGGTGCCACTGTTCACTTCAGAAGCAAAGGCTCACACTCCTGCTTCATGCCCTTGTTCCTCTGTCCTGCAGGTCCCTTGTTACAAGAGCCAGGCTACCCTCTCTCCTTCAAGCCTTCTCTTCCTGCCCGCCCCTCCTCTCCCATCTCTACCTTCGTCCTCTTAAGTAAAAACAAGAACAGTCGGCACTGTGCTACTACGAGTCATGACAACCCATGTGCGTCAGAGGACAATCATGCTCCACAGGGATTCCAGTGGCTGATTTTTCAGATCACCAGGCCTTTCTTCCAAGGCATCTCTGGATGGTCTTGAACCCGCAACCTTTGAGTTCATAGGCGACTGTGTTAACCATCTGCCACCTGGGACTTCTCTCCTCTAAGCCCTTACTTTTTTTCCTCCAAGTCGAACTCATTTTCCCTTCCATGTCTCTTCTCTCCATGGCCTTACCTCCACTTTTAAAAATGTTTGTTCAATTAGTATTTGAAATTTCTAAGCACAAGTTTATTATGTAAATACAAACAAAACTTTCTAGCCGCAGGAGTGTCACAGCAATAACGGAAAATTACCCAGGAAGGCACTCAATAGGTGGTGGCTGTTGAAGCCGAAAAACTCATTTAAATGATTTAAGAGAAGTTACTGTAAGACACGATTCTCCCAGTGACCTTAAAAGATTTCTCTTCTCCAGACAGCATGTTGTAGAAACCCCACATGTGATGTTGAAACTAGCAACCCAAGACCTTAACTAACATTACTGAGGGTACATGAGATTTCTTTTGAAACTGAATTCAGTTCTAGCCTTTATAAGCCACTCCCAGAAGTCACATTTCAGCCAAATAGCAGATGAGTCTATAAAACAAACATGAACACCCATGAGGAAGGAATATCTTCCTTAACAGTGGCGTCACCAGGAGAGTGCAGACTGCACGGGGTGACACTATCAGCGGGTGACACCAGAATAATTGTACGGTGTTTCAGCAGAAATTTATCATTTTTTGTAAAAATACCCTGTAGTTAAACAACGAAAACATTTTTTGTATACCAGCTTACATGTATCAACACACCTACAAGGCTAACTCTCTGTGTTCATTTACTCTTTGAACCTTCAATTGTGGTCAGAGTTGTCATTATTCCCAATGACACCTCAAATCACGTGGTTTTGTCCACACAGCACTACAGGTACGCAATGTTTTTCATTGCTGCCAGTGCTTTTACAGTTGCTGATTTCATAAATGTTTTTGATGGTTCACCTACAGTACTGTGGTAATTAATATTTGTGAACCTCTATCAATCGTTTTTTTTAAAATGAAGGAGTAATTAAAGGAAAAGGAGAAAAATGGGGGAAAAAAGGCTTCTGCTTAGTTACTAATAACTTTGTTAACTAAAACATCATTCAGCGAAATATTTTACAAAGCGTTAATATTTATATCATCCAGGAAATACTACATTTAAGCAATTTGCAACTTCATTTATTACATATTATGGTTGAAACTGAAAACAAACATCAGTAAAGGTCCCGTATAGTCTGGTACAAGTGGAGTCCATGGTAGGGTGACATCATGAGTTACCGCACTGGGTGACACCTAGAACAATCAACTACAGGAGACCAAACAGGCAACATTTGCCCAGGAGCAAAGATGAAAAGGGAAGGAGGGGAAGGGAACTGGGTGGACAGAAACCGGGAAGGCAGAGTAGACCAAGGAGAGTGCGCACACAGCGAAGGTGGCAGCCAACGCCACGGAACCATTTGTGCATCAACTGTTGAACGGGAAACAAATTTGCTGCTTAAACTTTCACCTAAAACACAATACAGTGTTCAAAGAGCTGTGGGGCAGGGGCTGTGGAAAAGGGCCAAACACACAGAAAGCATTTTTAGGGACGCAGAAAATTCCCTGGCTGTGGACAAGAGAAAAATCCATTCAAGTTGTTGGGAGATGCCTTAGATAAAACCCAAAAAAGCAAACCTACTGCCATCAAGTCGATCCCAACTCATCGTTACTCTCCATTGGGTTTCCAAGGCTGTAAATCTTTATGGAAAGCAGACTGCCTCGTGTTTCTTCTGCACAGCTGCTGGTAGATTCAAACCGCCAACCTTCGGGTTAGCAGCTGAATGCCCTAACCACTACACCACCCGGGCTCCCAGGAAAGCCCTTTCTTGGTCAAGGTCATTTTCCCCGGCTCCATTAGCCTCCATAGGAGCCTGCTTTCGCTATTCCATTCTTCCCGGCGCACCTCTCTCCACTATGCCCGCTTCCCCATCACTCTCCACTCGCCCTTGTCCTCCCACCAGCCTGCAAAGAGCCCTTCTGGGAAGAAGTGTATTAAGCCTCATACAATACACAGGTACAGCGGCTGCTGCAATGCGCCCAAACACCTAGGACCAGGATGACCCAGGACCCGGCAACCCTTCTGTGCTGCACACGAGGCCACGGTGAGCTGCAACCACTCAACAGCCGCCAACATCACCCACAACAGAGCTGGACGAGACTGCGGCCCCAGGGCGGTCCAGCCTGCCCCTCCGTCAGGCTTTCTGCCCCCTGGTCCCCTGCACACTGCACCCTCATTTCCTGCGTCGGGCCTGGCTGCTCCTCCTCACCTGCCCTGCTCCTTGCTGTCGCCCTCGCCTGCTGCTCTTGGTCCCTCTGCCTCCCTCCAAGGACGCTCAGGGCCCTGGCGGCTGTCTCTTCACACCTCCAGTCTCTCCTCAACAACTATTTCCCCCGAGAGCCCCCAACCTCCTTCACCTGCTTTCATCCCTTTCTCCCGTTTCCCACACACTTCTCTAGCTCCTTCTTCTTCCCCACCCGTCGGCCATTTTCCCTCCCTCAGTGTCTCCTCCCCTCCATGTCTCCCCAGCTCATCGAGCTGGGCCCCAGCTCCCAGGAGACCCCTCCGGGTCCCCCTTCCCCCTCCCTCCAGGCCTCTCCAGGTTCCCCCTCCCCCACCCTCGTGGCGTCCCCTCCCCCACTCTCTTGGCGCCCCCTTCGGGTTCCTCCTTCTCCGTCCATCTCCTACCTTGGCCATCTCCCTTGCAGCTCTCAGGAGCCCCCCTCCAGGTCCCCCTACCACGTGCCTACTGTCGGCTCCTTCCCCAGGTCCCCTCTCCGCCTTCCCCCTTGTCTAGCTCCCCTGGGTCTCTCGGGCGCCCCCTTCCGGTCTCTTGCTCCTCCCCATGTTACCAGCCTTCCCACCTGTTCGTCCCTCGGGTGCCCCCTCCAAGTCCCCTCGGCTGTTATCACCCCTTCGCCCTGGCTCCACCCCTTTCACCAACTTATCCCCCCTTCCCACGCCTGCGCACTGCCACTTGGCCCGTGGCACTGGCGTCTCCGGCGGGGTTCGGCTGCAGCACCCGGAGGTTGTGGCGTGAGGCGGAGCCCACGCAGGACTGGGCGGGCTGCACCCAAGCCACGCCTCTGGCGGTGAGGGCTCTGGGCGTCCCTGGGCCTGCCCCGCGCGCGCGGGCGTGTGGGCGGGCGCGTGGGCGGGCGCGTGGGCGGGTGCATGGGCAGGCACGTGCCTGACCCCGCAGGCTGTGCTTGCCCCGCGCAGGCCTGTTGGTCTAAGTCTGCGTGGCTGAAAGCCACCACCCTTAAATCTTGCTTGGCGCAAACTGAGTGTGAAACTGCAGGGGCGGGAAGCCTGCCCCGGGCCTCAACATTCTAGGCCTAGAAACGTGAATTGTCCAAAGGCCTGCTCAGGCCCCAAGCAAGGCCTAGTTAGACACGTGCACTTTCTAGAAGCTGCTCAGCCCCAAACCTGGGCCTTCTAGAATCCTCGGGACAAAAGCCTGCTTTAGCCTAACTCTGTTTGGGCTCACTTCTTCCCGGGCCTAGGCCAGGTCTGCTTAGTCCCAACCCCTCCTGGACCTTTTGAGGCCAGGTCCTTGCTGGGACTCACAGTTGGGCAGCTCCCAGCCCACTGAGCCCTGCTACGATGGCTTTCTCCAACAGACCGAGCCACAACGGCGGCTATGGAGGCCCCTGCCCCTACAGAGCAGTTCACCAAAATCAAAGAGCTGGCGTTGATTCCTGTAAAGGACTTGGAGGAGAAGGAGGGGGATGCGGTGTGCAGAGTGAAGGGGCGCTCGGGACCCGGTGCGGTGGAGGGCCAGGCTCCGCCAGGGGCCCTGCAGCTCTGGAACCCCGAGGCAGAGCTCGGGCTGATGGTGGCCTCCTTGGAGGAGACGGAGGAGAGCGAGAAGCACGTCCTGACGCTGGAGACGCTGCACCTCCCCCCCGACGTCGAGGCGCTGCTGATGCCCGAGGTGGGCTGGCTGACCGCGCAGCCTCAGGAGGAGGTGCAGGTGGTGGTGCCGCCGCAGTTGTGGGTGCAGCCCACGCTGGGCGAGGAGCCCCCGCGGAGTGTGCACCAGTGTGTCACCATCAGGTTCCAGGACGAGTTGTATTCGCTGCAGGGTATAGAGTTGGTGGAGCTCCAGGTGGTGGAGGAGAGCGAGGTGGCGGCCAGTGAGGACAGCAGGCGCTCCGTGAGCCTTGCAGCCAGCACCGAGTCGGTAAAGGTAAGAGTTGGCTGTAATGCACGGACCCTTCTCATGGGGAAAAAAATAAAAGTTTGGGTTTTTTTTTTTTGCAATTATTTTAAGACCTTTATTCACAAGTGCTTGCAGTTTCTTGACTTTTTTTTTAAAAAGAAAATGATTTTTTTTTAAAGTTGCCGTTTGTGAAGTCTTACATACAGACAAGCTCTCTTGCAGTTAAAATTACATGCAGAAAAATAACTTCCCAGGAGATGTTACCTTCCTTTCAAGGGGTTTAAAAGTTAAATTAGAGTCTTATAAGGTGCATTGGGTTTAAAAAAAAAAAAAAAGTGATGTTTCTGCACAAAGCCCTTGATGCTAAACAATTAGCATGTTGGTTGCAGTGGGCCCTCCTGAGCCCTTCTTTAATTTGTTTTTCGTTGTGCATTCGATGGTTGCCCGGGCCAGGGTTTAATCAGATTGGAAGGAATAGCATTGTCTTTGTTCGTATCCTTACTTATTAGCCGGAGAAAAGTGAGGAGGAGGCCCAGCTGCTGGTGGAAGGAGCAGGCCAGCAGCTCTTTCTGCTGGAGGCGACCCAGGGGGAAGAAGGGAAGGATGAGATCGTGTTGAAGATTTCCAGCTTACACGTGGAAGAGCAGGAAGCCAGACCTTCGTCCAGTGAAGCCAGGGTGGAAAAAACCAACTCTGCCAAACCTCCGAGAAAGACAAAGGGTAGGCCAGCTCACCTTGTCTGAGAGCTTCCGCTAGTTCATGGGAAGGAAGTTGGGTGAGTTTCCTGGGGCTACTCTAAGCAAGCCCCAGAAACCAGGTAACTTCATACCCCCCAGCGTATTCAGTCCCGGTTCTGGAGAACCGAAGTCCAGTCTCAAGGTGGCAGCAAGGCCGTCCTCTCTCAGAGGCTCTAGGGAAGCACCGTCCCCTTGTCTCTTCCAGCTTCTGGTGGTCGCCGGCCTCCCTCCCATCTCAGCCTCCATCGTCAGATGGCCTTCTCCCTGTGTGTGGATATCTCCTAATCTCTCCACCTGGCGTTGGAACCAGGCCCCACCCTGATGCCCATTCAGATCCTCAGGATCTGCTGTGATCCTGTTTCCAAAAATGTCGCATTCGTAGGTTCTAGGTAGATGTGCACTTGGGGGACACTGGTCACCCCAGGGGGAGCTCCGGTGGCATGGTGCCTAAGGCATTTCACTGCTAACCAGGAGGCAGGCGGTTCAAACCCACCAGCCTGAGGAGCACTCCTCACAAGAAAGATCAGGCAATCTACTTCAGTCGTGATACTGCCTCGGAAACCCGAGGAGAGGTCGCTAGGAGTCGGATCCATCTCAACGGCAGTGAGTTTGGTGTTTGGTTTTTGAGTCAGCCATGTTGACTCTTGTTGTTGTCGTACTAATAGGTGCCATGGAGTTGATTCCAACTCCTAGTGACCTCATGGGACAAAGAGAACTGACCCATAAGAGTTCCTAGGCTGGCATCTTTACGGAAGCAGATCACCAGGTCTTTCTCCTGCGGAGCCACAGGGTGGGTTGGAACTGCCAGCCTCTCAGTTACCAGCCAAGCGTTTGCTCTACCAGGCTCGACTCGCCCTGAGAGTGGCAGGAAATGGAGGAAATTTTAAACTAGTGTTGGGCTCGTGAATCACATACACCAGGGTTTTGTATTTTACACACAGGTGTTTTTGAAGACAGAGTAAGATACTCCCCCAAACATTGAGCATATAAGAAAAGACCGAGCCCTGGTCTCTGCTCTCTAGTTTGCAATGTGGCGCTGGTTTCTGATGAGCTCAGATGGAGGCAGGCAAGACCAAGTGCTTCGGGTGGTGAGGGACACCTCCTGCAGGGGGCAGCAAAGGCACGTTTCCAGGGAAGGCACCATTTTAGGCCAGAAAGGAAGCCATTAGGAGGATGACTATTGCAGGTGGCAGGAAGTGGCCCATGTGGGTAGTTCTGGAAGTGTGTGGGTAGGTCTCCTGTGGCATCGTGGGCGGGCAGGTGCTTGAAGAGGTGAGTCAGGTCAGGTTAGGAAGGAATTTAAAGCCATTACAACGTCAAACGGAACCCACTGCCCTCACATCAAGCCCAGCTTCTGGTGACGCCGTGGGTTATAGAGGGGAACCGTTCCACAGCGTGTTCTTGGCTGTGAGCTTTCACAGAAGTAAATTGCCAGGCCTTTCTTCTGCAGCAGCTCTGAGTTGGTTGGAACCACCAACCTTTCCGTTAATCGAGCACAGACCACAAACCATTGTACCACCCAGGCACCTCCTTGAAGCCATTAAAGAAAGCCCTATGAAAGCCGAGATTGTATGCCAGCAGCCCACAGGATGAATTCGACCTCCAGGAATGATTCGTTTAGCACTTTTTAAAAATTGATATTATCTTTCCATTTCTTTAAATCAAGAGATTTTACCTCCCACCCCCAGTTTCTAGGTGATTTTTAGAGGTCCATCTGGCATTACTGGGTTTCCTACTGACTGACAGCAGGGCTTGAGTAGCTGGGCCAAGACTCAAGACCAACTTTGGCTGCACCACCAGTAGGTTTGACATCTTGAGATTTCTGCTGGCAGTTAAGGATTTGACCTAATATACCTCCATTTTCTTATTTGGTCCCCTGTGGCTCCCAGAAGCCCATGGGATGGTGAGCTCATGGCCTTGTTCTCAACAGCGCCCCATTCTACCTACCTCCTTGAACACGTGAGAACATGTTGACCGAATGATTTCACTAGTCTGCATGCCACATGCATGCTGCACGTTCATTTCCTCCTCAGCTTTGGACTGGGGGAGCCTACCTCCTGGAGCACTGTCTTGTGGGGACACAGCGGTCCTGGAAAATGCCTGTCAGGGATTGTAGGTATCGGCCACCTGGGTCGTTGTCTCTGATGTGAGTCCAGCTTTTGGGTGGATGGCGCTTCGGTGGTCACCAGAGTGATTATAAAGGCAGAAACTTTCACAAGTGGATTGCCAGGCCTTCCTTTCAATGGACCTCTGGGTGGGTTCGAGCCACCAACCTTATGGCCAGGAGTCGAGTGTAGCCAACTGTGAGTGACATCAGTCTTTTCGAAGAGCCCACGACGTCTGGTTGCTTGGACCACCTCTCTCATATACGTGGTTTACTTCCTTGACTCCTGTGGGTATCCTTATTTCTTCTGCCTTCATTTAGTTCATCTGCAGATCTTTTTCTAAATTCGGAGGCTGGGTGCTTACTTGGGGCTCGTTAATTTTCAGCCTCCTCTTCCTCTTTAAGTGTCTAAGGGATGAAGTTCTGTGCAAACTTAGAACATCATGATCCATGCTTTTTGATACCATTTCATCATTTGGTTTATCTTTTTCAGTTTTGTTAGGATTTCCTTTGACTAGCGTTAGGAGAAGGAGCTCTGGTAGTATAGTACCTAAGGCACTTGACTGATAACCAGAAGGCTGGTGGTTCAAACCCACCAGCCACTCCTCGGAAGGCAGGTTGGGCAATCCTATATTTCCGTAGTGATACTGCCTCAGAAACCCAAGGAGGGGTCGCTACGAGTCGGGTCCGACTTGACAGCACATAACAACAACAAGCGTTAGGAGAAGCTTCTCCTACTTTCCGAGCACATGGCATTTGATTTCTAACCTAACTGCACTGTGGCCACAGAACGAGGCCCGTGAGGGCCAGTGCTCTGAAACGTGTTGGAATTGCTTTAGGGCCTGGGAGGGCGGGCTTCTGTAAATGTGCGTGGGAGCTTAGCAAGAGCAAGGGTGTCATTGACACGGGGTTCTAAAGAGATGCTCACTAAGTCACTCTGCCTCACTGGTCGAATAACATATGGTCAAAATCTCCCACTTTAGGTTTTTCTTTCAATGTCTGTTGTGTGTTATTTGAAATTAACTTCTTAAATGCAAGCACGGTTGGAATTGTCGTCTCCTCCTGGCGGTTGAGCCATTTATTACGATTACAGAAAGGGGCCTGGTGGTGCAAACACTTGCTAAGCACTCAGCTTCACTGAAAGGAAAGGTCGCCGGTTCAAAGCCACCCAGTGGCTCCTTGGAGATCTCCTCCGGAGATCTTTTCCTGTAAAGATTACAGCCTAGAAAAATCCTAGGGGCAGTTGTGCTCTGTCCTGAGGCGTCTCTGTGAGTCCAAGACCTACATGAGGACTGTAGACAGAAGTTGGCTGGTTTTGTGCTAAGAGAATCTCTTACTGTCTGTCTGTCTCAGTTCTCCAGTGCTACTCTAACAGAAATACCACAAGGGGGTGACTGTAACACAGAGAAATTTATTCTCTCACAATTTAGGAGGCCCCAAGTCCGAATTCAGGGCTCTGGCTCTGGGGGAAGGCTCTCTCTGTGGGCTCTAGGGAAGGTCCTTGTCTCTCCCAGCTTCTGTTTCTTGGTTCCTGGGAGACGTCTGACTTCCGCCATCTCTCCCTGCTTGCTGCTTGTTTTGTCTGCTTTAACACAATTCAGAAGTGATAGGTTTGAGACACACCCCACACTGATAGGACCTCGTTAACATAACAAAGTACACCCTGTGCCCAGATGGGATTACAGCTGCCATAAATGGCAGGATTTACAAAACGATTCAGTCCCAAATACCATCCGAGAACATTGCATCCTGGGATGTTCAGATATCTGGTAAATAGAAGTCATGGATTCTATTGTTGAAGGAGCCCTGGTGGCACAATGTTTAAAGCACTTGGCTGCTAACCGGAAGGTTGGTGGTTTGAACCCACCAGCCACCCCATGGGAGAAAGAGGCAGTACGCTTCCATAAAGGTTAGTGTCATTTTTTTAATTACAACTCCTACGAAATCTGGGGGCTTAATTTTGGGCTAAAAGCATAAATATATGTACTCTTAGGAACCAGACCATGTAAGTGTGGTGACTGTGACAGCTGCGAACCCTGTGGGGGTCTCTGTCCTGTAGGGTCACTGTGGGTTGGAATCAACAGCAGTGGGTTTGGAGTTTCCGTTCTATTGTTCACCTACCACATCAGGCTTATGAATGTGTCAAGACCCTTCAATGAGTTTAAATGGAGTTTGACTGTCTTCTTCCAAAGAGAGATGTTTGCAGATACTCTGTCCCTTCTTCCCGTAGGAGTGAAACGGACCTTCCACTGTAACGTCTGCAAGTTCACCTCTTCTAGAACCTCCAGTTTCAATCGCCACATGAAAATCCACACCAACGAGAAGCCTCACATGTGCCACCTGTGTCTGAAAGCGTTCCGGACCGTTACCCTGCTGCGGAACCACATCCACACCCACACAGGTGAGGTCCCCGGGAAGCAGCTCCTTCAAAGAGTGTCCAAATCATATGTAGGACACAAACCACGTGTTCTACATGGAAAGGATGCGTCATTTCGGACTTTAATTTTGTCTCTTTCTTAAGTTTTGCTTAACAATACTGAGTACTGCAAAGATTTCCTGCCACATAGCTACAGTACTTAAATCCCTGGGTGGTGCAAACAATCAACACACTAAGCTGCCAGCCAAAGGCTGGAGGTACGAGTCCACCCAGAGGTGCCTCGGAAGACAGGCCTGGCAACGCACTTCCCAGAAACCAGCCACAGAAGCCCTGTGGAGCTCGGTTTTACTCTGAGATGCATGGGGTCGCCACGCGCCCGAGCTGATTCCGCGGTGACTGGTGTTTTAGTTGAAAGAGCCTCTTCTTGATTTTTAAAGTATTTGGAGGCTTAGTGTTGAGGAGCCCTGGTGACGCAGGGATTACGTGCTCAGCTGCTAACCGAGAGGTTGCTGGTTCAAACCCAGCAGCCACTCTGTGGGAGAAGAGACCTGGCAGTCGGCTTCCATGAAGATTAAAACCCAATGCACTGCCATCGAGTGGATTCCGACTCATGGCCACACCGTGGACAGAGGAGAACCGCCCCATAGCGTTTCCAAGGCTGTAAATCTTTAGGGAAGCAGACTGCCTCATCTTTCTCCCCTGGAGCAGCTGGCGGGTTCGAACTGCCGACCTTCTGGTTACCAGCCGAATGCTTTAACCACTGCACCACCAGAGCTCCTTCCATAAAGATTACAGCCTAGGAAACCCTTTGGGGCATTTCCACTCTGTCCCTCAGGTGGCTGGCTAGGAGTTGGAATCATCTTGCTGTCAACCAGTGTGGGAGGCTTAGTGTCATTTTTAAATTACAACTCCTAGGCAATTTGGGGTCTTAATCTTGGATTGAAAGTATCAACTGTCTTATGTTTTAGGAACCAGACCATATAAGTGTGGTGACTGTGACATGGCGTTTGTCACCAGTGGAGAGCTCGTCCGGCACAGGCGTTACAAACACACCCATGAGAAGCCCTTCAAGTGCTCCCTGTGCAAGTATGCCAGCGTGGAAGTAAGTCCCGCCCACCTTCCCTCTGCGCCACTCAGTCAGACGCATGGCAGACTGCCGTGCGCTAGACCGATGAGAATCCGCTATGAGATAGTTTTTAATAAAGACGTTAGTCAGACAACGTGGATGCAGGAAGTGACACACAGTCCATTTCCTGAATTTAAAATAGGAAATTGGATTTCTCCGTTTTCTTGATGATCAATTAGTGAGAGTGATACACAGAGGGGCACAAGTCACCACAGAAATGACCTGTGCTCGAGAAGCAGCCCCGTTTTGTTAAAAGTTCCGCCTCGTATCTTATGCAGAACTCACTGCCACAGGAGCAAAGTGAGTTTGCCAGTCGGGCTGAGGCTCTGCCCAGTTGAGCTCAGCTAAGTTCCCTTTGGTCAGGGTCACACGCAGCGCCTCACGGAGAGATGGAAGTGCAGCCATTTTGCTGGGGCACTTACAGACTCCCCTTCCCAGATTCCAGTTACAGGCGGGTCATTTCACCTGACTGTCCTGTTCATACTGTGTAAGAGAGTCAGCAAGAAGCCCTAGCGGTACAGTGGTTCAGCACTCGGCTGCTAACTGAAAGGTCAGCAGTTCAAACCCACCAGCCCCTCCAAGAACGAAAGATCTGGTGCCCTGCTTCCATAAAGATGGCAGCCTAGGAAACCCCGCAGGGCAGGTCTGCTCTGTCCCGTGGGGTCACTGTGAGGCGGAGTCGCCCGGACGGCAGCAGGTAAGAGGTTTAGCGGTCCGCTGAAGGAGTGACAGTGGGACCTTCAGTTGTTTCCCAATGGCTCTAACAATTCCTTTTTCTTTTACTTTTATTGTGGTGAAACTGTGCAAGAAGACATTCACCAACATGACAACTTCCCCGTTTACAGCTCAGGGACATTGATGCCATTTTTCATGTTGTGCCACCATTATTGCAGTCCTTTTCCAAAATATCCCACCACCGTGAGCATAAACTCAAGGCCCCACGAACAAAAGCTTCCCCTTTTCCCCTCCCTCCCACCTCTGGTAACACTGATAATCTTTGGTTTCTATATATATTTTTTTCTTTTTTTTCCAACCTATCTAGGGATTTTCCCTCCTCTGTCTTCCCATCCCTGATAACCAACAGTTTCTTTCCATATGTAAACCTTTCCTTGACTTTTTATAATAGTGGACTAATACAGTATTTGTCCTTCTGTGATTGACTTATTTCACTCAGCATAATGTCCTCCAAGTTCATCCACGTTATGTGGTGTTTTGCAGATTCTACATTATTCTTTAGGGTTGCATAGTATTTCATTGTGTGTATGTACCATGGTTTGGCTATCCATTCCTCAGGTGATGGGCACTTAGGTTGTCCATCTCTTTGCTATTGTAAATAGTGTTGCAGTGAACATGGGTGTGCATATATCCATTCTTGTCATGGCTCTCACTTCTTTAGGATATATGCCTGGTAATGGAATGGCTGGGTCAAATGGTATTTCTGTTTCCAACTTGTTAAGGAATCACCATCCTGCTTCCCACAGTGGTTCTATCATTTAACAGTCCCACCAGCAGTGTAGGAGAGTCCCAATCTCTACACATCTTCGCCAGCATCTCCTAACAATTCATTCTTAAAGGCTCCATCATTTCCTAGGGAGCCAGCCAGAGCCTGGTTTTGAGCCTACTTGGAAGGGCATAAGAATCCCCCAGAGTGGAACTCAGAGGGGACAGCGAGAGTTTAAATATAGCCATGATGCAACACGTTTCACAAACTGGGGAAGTTCAGTGGCAGAATCTTGTTCCAAGAATCTTTTTTCTGCTGTTGCTATTTTTTAAAATTATTTCTTATCTGAGTTAAAGGTTGTGGCTTCTTCTGAGACCACGAAATGAAGGTTTCCAAACACACAGCTGTCTCAGAGCCCCAGGCCTGGAATGGCCTTTTTGCTGCTGTCCCACCAGGTCTGATTGCCACCTCCCCAGGCCGGCTGCCGCCTGCTCAGATCTGCGCCATTGGAAACCCTGTGGAGCAGTTCCGCTCTGACACACTAGGGGGCACTGTGAGCGGGGCGACACCACACCCTCAGGCAACAAGCCCCCCAGTACGTGTGCTCACCAGCGAGGGGCGCCTCAGCCCGAGTGCCCTCAGGGTCGGGGCGCCGGGACATCCCCGCGACTACCTCACGTGGTAACCATCCTCCAAGGAGCCCTGGTGGCACAGTGCTTAAGCAATCAACTGCTAACCGGAAGAGGTTCGAACTAAGGCTTAGAATCGGTGTGAGCCACCTCAGTCACAGACAAGGATGCAAAACCGGAACAGAATTTTTTAAATTTGCATGATCCGGGGTGGTGACGAACTGGAAAGACTACAGATCAAAGCCCTGGAAAGGGAGACTTGGAAGAGGCTGTAATGCAGAATGTCAGAGGGTGACACACGCTCCCAGTGTCGCCTTCGGCCGCCATCTTTGGGCAGGGCGTTGCTCTCTCCTCTGCTCAGAATCCCCGGGAAGAGGTCGGCTGCCATGCAACACACAAGCTCCCCTAGTTTTTATGAGAGAGACTAAATTTCCAGCAGGGCTCTGACCTGTCATTTCCCATTCCTGTTACCAGGCTGGTGCGGCCAAATCTTTAAAATCCAGGGCTGTCCCAGCTTTACTTCCTCAGCCATGACTGAACTGGGAAGAGCTGGTTAAAAGTCCTGGCTGGAACCCACCAGCCACTCTATGGGAGAAAGACATGGCAGTTGCTCTGTGGGAGAAAGATGTGCAGTCTGCCTCCAGAGAGGTTTACAACCTCGGAAACCCTGTGGGGCGGTTCCACTCTGCTCTGGAGGGTCACTGTGAGTCAGAATCAACTAGACGGCAGCATGTTGGAAGGAGCCCTCTTGGTGCGTTCATTAAGCACTCCCGTGATAACCGAAAGGTTAACAGTTTGAACCCACCCAGCCGCTCTGTGGGTGAAAGGACCTGTAGATCTGCCCCCATAGAGATTGAAAACCAGTCACTGCCATCGAGTGGATTCTGACTCACAGCGACCCCCCGGGTTTCCAAGGCTCTAAATCTTTACAGAAGCAGACTGTCTCGTCTTTCTCCCACAGAGTGGTTGGTGGGTTCAAACCATTGACCTTCTGGTTAGCAGCCAAATGCCTTAACCACTACACCACCAGGCTCCTTCCTGGGAAGATTCCAGGAGACCTATGGGACAGGTCTGCTCTGTCACGAGGAGTCACCATGAGTTGGAGTTGACTCTATGGCACTGACCAACAACAGAGCTAAAGGTTCCCCCTTAACGCAGCAGAGGCTGCCTGGGCCCTGCAGCTCCGCGGTGTGACAGACATGCCACCTGAGAACGCACACGTGCAGTGAGCCGCCAGACTTTAGTTTTCCCTTTAAAGTGAAGTCGAACATGGACGCCTCTCAAAGCTGCTACCCGTTAGTCCCCCAAAGGACCTTATACACGCTGAGTTAAAAAAATCCCCCTCGACAGAAAATAACAATCAGTGACTTTCTCGTATTTTTTGGCGTGTGACAGACGTGTTGATCGAATACGTTAGGGTCGATCCGTTTCGGTAGCGTTTGTAGCACTGCTGAATCTCATTCTGCTTGTGGGCCCTGTCCCGGTCATTCCCTCCTCGTTCACAGGCAAGTAAGCTGAAACGCCACGTCCGCTCCCACACGGGGGAGCGCCCCTTCCAGTGTCACCTGTGCAGCTACGCCAGCAAAGACACCTACAAACTGAAGCGTCACATGAGAACACACTCCGGTAAGTGTAAGGTCAAGAGGGGCCCTGGTGGCACAGCGGCGAAGCACTCAGCTCCGCACCAACAGGGCGGCCGTTTGGGCCCACCAGCCGCTCTGCGGGAGAAACATGAGGCAGTCTGCTTCCACAGAGACTGCAGCCTTGGAAACCCTGTGCGGCGGTTCTCTGTCCGGTGGGGTTGCTGTGAGTCGGGATCCACTCGAGGGCGGTGGGTATCTGGATGGGACCCACACCTGTCATGAAATGATGCTCGGATGTTAGGAAGGTCACATGTCAGAGCCATTGTTGAGACATCTCTACCTGACACCATGGCCCAGAGCCTTGTACTAGTCGGGGTTTAAACATGACGCTCCAGGTGACCCTTGTGCAAGCTGAGGTTCACGTAGGTCATCTGTGCTGTTGTCTCACAGGCGAGAAGCCCTACGAGTGCAAGGTCTGCCACGCACGGTTCACCCAGAGCGGCACCATGAAGATACACGTCCTGCAGAAGCACAGCGAGAATGTCCCCAAATACCAGTGTCCCCACTGTGCCACCACCATCGCGAGGAAGAGCGACCTGAGTGAGTGGGCTGCGGGGGGTGGCTGCCGTGGAGGCGGTTCCCGCTCGCGGTGGCCTCGTGTCAGACGAGGACCGTGCCCCGGAGGGTTTCAGTGGCCGGGTTTTCAGAAGGATCATCAGGCCTCTGTTCTGAGGTGCCTTGGGGAGGACTCAGCACACATCACCCGTTCACACCGCGCAGGGACTTATCATCAGAGAGACCCAAAAAGCCCGAACCCCTTGTTGTTGCGCCAATATCCGATTCATGGCGACCCACGTGTGCCTAATGGAACCGAACCAGGGGGTTTCCAGGCTGTGAACTTTCAGCCGTACATCACCAGCTCTTTCTGAGGACCTCTGGGAGGGTTCAGACCACTAGCCTTCCAGCCAGTAATGGAGCACTTAACCGTCTGTGACTTGTGCCACTAGGGCCTCCTGTGAGTGGGCCGGTGACCGGGGCCTCCTGTGTGAGTGGGCCGGTGACCAGGGCCGCCTGTGTGAGTGGCCGGTGACCAGGGCCTCCTGTGTGAGTGGCCGGTGACCAGGGCCGCCTGTGTGAGTGGCCGGTG